CAAGGTCGCACCGACCTACAGCTCGATGGGGGTTATGACATCTGTTTGTATCATGAAGCAACTACCACGTCGATAGTAACATCGCATCTCCGAACGGTTAGAAGCCTAAGGGACAATGATGCATTGAGGATAGAGCTGGGTACAAGTACTAACCCTGATTCGGTGGTAGCTGCGTATGAGCCGCACCACCACATCGTACACAACATTAGCGTCATTATGAGAAGTCACACCCCCGTATGCAAAGAAGGGGAGAACAAGTGGTCACAAAATCACGGATCGGGGAGCCACCAGAATAATGATTCATACAACAAACATGGTGGACATGGTCCGCACTTTAAGCCAGAAACCAACCCAATGGCTGAATTTGGGCATCCTTACCACCGGATTTTGTTAATTATACCTATGCATATACTGCATAGGTATAATTTTAGTCTTATCTTACAATATGGTGACACACCCAACTCGTGGCTGCTATAAGGTTATTTCTTGTTATAGAGATGTAGAGCTGTGTGGTGCTTAACGGGACCTCGCTCAGTGTGGTTGAGTGTGTGGCGTCTATGCCGAGCTGTTACGAAATGCAGCTGCCGTTGGCTGAATAAATAACCTCAGGTCTAAGGCATCAAATCAAACAGTGCTGCGCATTTTTGGCTTCTTGCGCGAGGAAGTCGCGTTTCCTCGTTACGTTGTGCTAGCGTGCAAAACGAAACAGCGCTCTTGCGCGTGATTTCCGTCAGACCGATGCATGCGCATTAAATGGTGGATCCATTTGCCAATGCGATGGCAACTCCGTGCCCCAAAAGTCGGGACCGGCCACCTGTTTTTGCTGCTGAGATGGAAGTGCTGCAGAATGTGCCATTTCCTACTGCGCATATCAGTACTGCGCATATCAGTACTGCGCATGCCTGGCAGCGCAGACACACAGAGCAGCGATCAAATGCGGAAATTTGGAACACGAGCTGTTTTCAGTGGGCCGTTTTAATCATTCACGAACCCAACGTGTTTGTTTTCTTCTGAGATTTCTCATGCGATGGCAGCGCCTTGGAAACTTCCGATTCTACGCGTGATGCAACAGTTATCAGCCAAGATTGCACGGTTGTTGTGGACAGTCACAAATGTGTTTGCTGAACACGGAGGGCAGTACTGATACACCACGGAAAGTCGTGGTTTTAGCGCGTACGGTCCTAAATCCCATTGTACTTGTTTTTTCCACTAAAAACATTACGGTTAGAGTGACACCAACAGAATCCAACACTCCTTTCGAATAAGGCGTTTTGTTTGGAAAAATGTACTTTTTGAAAACGTATAAGTCAAACATTTGACGCCGACTCGCCCCCACGTAATGTACAGTACGCGTTTTTGTTTGAGTTCACATGGCTGTTTGTTTTCAGGGTAGGGTCATTTTTTTGGAGCCGAAATGTATCGCTCTTTGTGAGAGGGGATGAGTTCCGCAGACACAAAGTTCCAGAATTTTGCGCACTCGGATGCTTGCTTTCCAATTTCAGGCCTCGCGATCGCATCTATATTCGGGTAACTAACCCCCGACTTTCTGTTCCGTTTTTACCGTGTGCTGAGTCAGCCAGGCCCTCTACTGGCTGCGCCACACATTCTGGAACTGCCTCAGTTTACACCCACCTGAGGTTCGGTCGAGTAGGCAGTGGCAGTGAGCTTCATGGCGGGCCTTGCTCACGTGCCTATGTTCACGAAAAACGGGCTCTGATCTCGTGTGTATTTGTTTGGCAGTAGCTGTATGGCATTGCTGCCCGTTCGATGTGCTGGCAATGCTGTGCCACACCAGCTAGCAAGTCCCGGCGTGATGCAGCGGCGAGGTCCCTAACCGGTTTGGCTTGTTCTGTAATTCCAGGACAGATGCGTGGTTGGCTGGAGATATCTCCTGATACGTGTGGTTTGGGTATATGTTTGTCTCGTGGGGAAATTGTAGGGTGATTGATATCACGAAATTGGCAGCTAGACCAGAGAAGTTGCTACGGTTCGATTTTACAGAGTCCGTGTGTGCACTTTGGTTTCAGGTATACTGAGTCCATGTGTGTAATTTGTTTTAGCTCGCTATCAATGCGTTTGTAGAACAGTTCCACGGTTCTGGGCAGTAAAATTTCCAACAAAGGGAAAATGTGCTCCTTGAACATTTCAGACTAGGAAGGGCCGACAACTTGCCCAACCTCATCAAAGTCTCCACTTTGAAGCTTAAGTCCATGCTACAAGACCCGTTCCATGGTTCCAGATGTGCAGTTTTTCATGTTGTCGATATTAAAGATATTAAACCTGATAATGCAGAGGGTCTGTTTTTTTTATGCCAAAGAAGGAAACGCTTAGTTAATTTTTGCAGCCAAATACGCCCTGAACACAACTACCCCCACGTTTCTAACACCACGACTGATGGGGTCTAGCACGTCCAGTCCCATTCTACAAGCTCAACCACTGCTGTGTAAGGTTTTCCAAGCACCTCCTTCCTTCTGGAGCCTGCCTTCTAGCTCAGACGTGCGTTCAACCCCTTCACGTGTACCGCGCGCGCAGAGTCAACGTGCCGCACGAAAGTAACACGCATCGACATTGTGGCACAATTCCGAGCACCATGACGGCCTGTTCCGCCAATTCCGAGCACAATTCCGAGCACCATTGTGGCACCATTCCGAGCACAATTTCGCTGAGCTTGTTGACTTTGCTGCCGCCTGTCGTCTAGACTACGCCGCTAGCCTTGTTGCTGAGTCTGAGTCTGTCTGTCCTCCGTCCGTCGGGGGTGAGTGTGCTCTTGGCACGGACGTCCTTGAGGACAGACAGGAGGAGTTTGAGTGCTTTGCTGCTGCTTTACCTCATCTCGTGTCTATGCTGATTGCCCCTGAGGGAGACCCGGATGCACCAGACATCCCGACCCCACACTCCTACGCAGAGGCGATGGAGGGTCTCTACTCCTCTCAGTGGCAGACAGCCATGGACGCAGAGATGGCTTCCTGGAAGTCCACAGGCACCTACGTCGACGAGGTTCCCCCACCTGGGGCGAACATCGTCAGTGGCAAGTGGATTTTCAGGGTGAAGCGGCCGCCGGGTTCTCCGCCTGTCTTCAAGGCGCGTTACGTTGCTCGAGGCTTCAGTCAGCGAGAGGGAGTTGACTTCTTCCAGACCTTCTCCCCGACCCCGAAGATGACCACTCTTCGGGTTCTGCTGCACGTCGCTGCTCAGCGTGACTACGAGCTCCACTGCCTTGACTTCAGCACTGCGTTCCTACAGGGCACCCTGCACGAGGAGATCTGGCTGCGCCGCCCACCTGGCTTCACTGGGTCGTTCCCTCCTGGTACCCAGTGGAGCCTCCGGCGGCCAGTCTACGGTCTCCGCCAGGCACCTCGTGAGTGGCACGACACACTGAGGACTACTCTTGCTGCTCTTGGGTTTGCTCCTTCTACTGCTGACCCGTCGCTGTTTCTACGCACCGACACCACTCTGCCGCCGTTCTACGTTCTCGTGTACGTAGACGACTTGGTCTTTGCTACTGCTGACACTGAGGCACTCGCCCACGTGAAGTCGGAGCTGCAGAAGAGACACACGTGCACAGACCTGGGTGAGCTGACAAGCTATCTTGGCTTGCGGATCACCCGGGACAGAGCACAGCGCACCATCACCTTGACTCAGTCACACATGGTGCAGCAGGTCCTTCAGCGCTTCCGCTTCACGTACTCCTCGCCTCAGCCCACTCCTCTGCCTACCGGTCATTCGCTCTCAGCTCTGCCTTCGGATGAGTCCGTAGAGCCGAGTGGCTCGTATCCAGAGCTTGTGGGCTGCCTCATGTACCTGATGACCTGCACTCGACCTGACCTAGCCTACCCTCTTAGCATCCTAGCACGCTATGTCGCTCCTGGCCGTCACCGGAAGGAGCACATGGATGCCGCTAACAGGGTGTTGCGCTACTTGTGCAGTACGTCGGGCATGGGGCTTGTGCTTGGAGGACGGCGCGACGTTGTCCTCACTGGACACTCAGACGCTTCTTGGGCTGACGACCAGGCTACTCAGCGGTCGTCTCAGGGTTACACCTTCAGCCTTGGCTCTGGCTCAGTTTCTTGGCGTTCTACACGCTCTTCCTCTGTTCTCAGCTCCAGTTGTGAGGCTGACATCTACGCCACAGCCATGGCTGCCCAGGAGCTTCGTTGGCTCACCTACCTGCTGACCGACCTGGGAGAGCGGCCTCGTTCTCCTCCAGTGCTGTACGTCGACAACAAGGCCGCCCTTGCCTTGTGTCAGGAGCACAGACTGGAGCACAGAACGAAGCACATCGCTCTGCGCTACTTCCTTGCTCGAGAGCTGCAGCAGCGTGGTCAGCTTCGTCTTTCGTACGTGGCCACTCGGGCCAACACTGCTGATGTGTTCACCAAGGCGCTTCAGCCTTGTGATCATCAGCGTTTCTGTACTGTTCTAGGCCTTGTGCCTACTCTCCCTCACTTGCTCACTTCTTGACTCTGCTTGTACTGTGATATCTATATATATACCTGCATGCTTACACTTGCTAGGTTGTGATCACCGTACCTCTTGTTATATTATCAAACTGCATGTGAACTGGTCTTGTGACCACTTGCTTGTGCTCGGAATGTGTGTGGTATCCTTGAGATCCACCCTGAGCTTGTTTTGCTTTGCCTTGCTTTGACTGGTCTTGTGACCCCTTGTTCTCCTCCACTTAGCCTATGGGGGTGTGTCAAACATTTTATGTTTACATTGTGTAGGCTATAGTGGGTTTAGCCTTAGGGGGTACAACAAACTTAGGGTTTCCTACTTGTACCCAACTTTCTGCTAGTTTCATCATTCTCGTCCTCTCTCAGTTTCTAACACCCTTGCCCACCTGTCCCGATAGGGTGGGCTGCATGCATCAGCTGGGCTGCACCGATGGATGCCAGACTTCCCCTTCTTCTCCCTTTGCATCCCTCCCGCTTCCCACTTGTTCGCTCCCCTTCCCCTTTCTATCCGCACTTCCCTTTCCTCCCTCGCCCATGTGGCTCCCAATGACGCATCGAACGCACGCCAACAGCCCCCCTCATTCCGCTTCCCTTGTCTCCATTGCCCATCCCTCCCCCTCTCAGGCGCGGGTGGCCATCCAGTCACTCATCGACCGCGCCCCACAGACGGCTGAGCTGGCCGCCACAGGCGAGCAGGTGGGGAGGGAGGGGGGGGGGAGGGGGGGGGGGGGGCTGGAATGGGAGACGCATCTCTGGGTGGGTGAGGGCGGTGGGCGGATCCCCTGGGGGGCTGAGACGGATAGGGTGGTGTGCAGGGGAGTGATGGGGAACGGATATGTAGGGGTGCTAGCAAACAAGTGTGGTGGTCTCCTCTTTCTGGGCTGGTTGGCATCTGCGTGTCTCTCTTTACCCTCGTTTTCTCTCATTGCTCCCCCCCTCCCCTTAACCCCACCTCTTCAATGGCACCATGCGCCACAAGTACGAGAGCAGTGAAGATGGGTACCAGCAGGTCTGGATCCCTTTGCCTGCCATGTGCAAATGGGGGGCAGAGCAGCTCTCCCTGTGGAGCCACCCCAACACCGCTTCAGTCCCACCCTGTGCCCATGACAGGTGGCGGTGGAGGACGTGGCGGTGGCCACGCTGCTCGCAGTGCGCCCAGGCGCTCTCGTGCCGGTGGATGGAGTGGTGCAGAGCGGTGCGAGCAGCGTGGATGAGAGCAGTCTGACAGGCGAGTCGCTGCCAGTGTTCAAGGACGTGGGCGCTCCTGTGTGGGCCGGCACCATCAACACCACAGGCCCGTGCTGCTCCTCTCCCTCACTCCACCAACCAACCAACCAACCAGCCATGCTGAAACCCCACCCTTTCACTCTCACTCCTCCAACCAACCATCCAACCACTCTCAACCACCTCGTCCATGCGTCCGTCACCCTGCCTGCCTCCCAATCGCGCCCCAGCACGTGCCCTCCTTTCTCTCTCTCATTTTACCTTGCCAGCCATGTCTCTCGCTGCGAGCCCTGCCTTGGCCTGTCCAATCAAGTCTGCCTGCTCCCTGCAGGCACGCCCCTCCTTGCCCATGTCACCTACCCCTCCTTGCCCATATCATTTGCCCCTACTCATGCCATCCTCCTGTCAGAACTGAGCTTAGAATCGATGCATTACTAATGAGCTTGGAGCTCCGTAAGTACATCCAAAATGAGCTTGGTATGGATGGGGAGGGAATCTGGGGCAATCCCTAGGGATTGGGGGTTATCCCAAGGCAATCTCCAATTGGTGGGTAGGAGATTGCTTGGAGATCACATTTAGGTTTGGTTGGGATGTGGGTAGGCAATCTCACATTTAGAGTAGTGTAGTTTGCACTTTGTGTTTGGTTGGGTGTACACCCAACCAAACACAAAGTGCAAACTACACTACTCTAGAGGTGAGAATGAGGGCTAACACTAACACCTCCCACCGTCCCTCTCGCCACCCCTGCCTCCGTTCCCAACCCTCACCCCCGTCAGGCTACTTCACCATGAGAGCCACGGCGCTGGCGTGCGACTCGGCAGTGGCGCGCATGGTGGCGCTCATCGAGGCAGCGCAGGCCAACCGCTCGCCCTCACAGCGCCTCGTGGAGTCATTCGCCCGCGTCTACACGCCCACCATCGTGCTCTCTGCGCTGCTGCTCGCCCTCGTGCCGCTCGCCGTGCCCTCCGCCGACCACCTCTACTTCTTCCGCCTCGCACTGCTGCTGCTCGTCGTCGCCTGCCCGTGCGCCCTCGTGCTCTCCACGCCCGTCACCGCTGTGTGCGGCATCGCACGCGCCGCAAAGGACGGGGTGCTGGTGAAGCGCGGCGTGCACCTGGAGATGCTGGGGCGCGTGCGGGCGGTGGGCGTGGACAAGACGGGCACGCTCACACATGGCCGCTTCCAAGTGGTGGGCTTTGAACTCGTGGACGGCGCTGCCTGCACCAAGCACGAGTGCCTCCAGTGGTAAGCGACTCGCTGCGGACGAGAATCACTGACTTTATTGAACGAGTTATGGGGTTCGTCCTAGATGCATTTCCAGCTGCTACCATCCCTCTCGTGCACTGCCCCCCGTATTGCCTCCCCCCCTCATCTCTCTGTCCTCGTTCATGAGCCTGCTTGTGGTCCCACCGTCTCCCTGCCATGCACCGTGGGTCTCTCCATGGGTGCAGGCTGGCAGGCGCAGAGAGGCAATCCAGCCATCCCATGGCGGCCGCCCTGCTGGCCTACTGCCGCCACCACGGCGTTGAGTCCAACGGGCCACTGCTGGCTGCTTCTGCATGCGCCCTTGGGGCAGCAGGCTGTGCACACGGCCATTCCACATGCTCCCGTGCCGGTGCAAGCAGCAGCCGGGGCGACTAGGGCTGTGGGAGCAGCAGCAAGGCATGTGGGAGCAGCAGCAAGGCATGTGGGAACGGAAGCAAGGCGTGTGAGAACGGTCGTGACACATGTAGCACCCGTGCTACTGGCAATGGTGGATGCAGCAAACCACACGGCACGTGCAATGCGGCTGGCGTCGCACGTGGGACGCTGGATGGGGCATGTGAAGATGATGCAGGGTCATGTGGAGGCAGTAGGCCACATGGCATGGTTGCAGCCGGCACAGGGTTCTGTAAGGCGTCTCGCTGCCATGACAGGGAACACGGCACCGCCGCAGACACCAAGGCAATCTGTAACGAGGATGGGGCTGAAGGGGGGGTTGGATGGGCAGCAGGAGGGACAGAGGGTGTCAGGGAGGGAGGTGGGGCAATTGAGTTTGAGACGGTAGCGGGGGAGGGTGTGGAGGCGGTGGTGGGGGGCAGGCGCGTGCACGTGGGCAACGAGAGGATGGCCCTGCGCCATGGGTGGACACATGGTGAGGTCCTCCATCCGCAACCACCCATTTGCTCTCCCTCTTGACCAATGCCACCCAAACATGCTGAGCCAGTCATTGGCTCATCGTGTTCACATCTCTGCACGTGCCTCCATTGGCACCATTGGGTTTGCCGCCTCTGCCATCGCATGGCCACTGCCTGCTCTGTCACTTACATGTTACCCCACTCCATTCCCCTGTATCCCTTCACACATAGCAGCTCTCCTCCCCAGTGTGTGCTACAGCCCTTCCCACTCATGCTCCAATGCCACAGCTCCCTCCCTCTCTCCCCTCCCCACCCCCAAACCAGCCTGCCCCACCCACCCCACCCAACCATCACCCCCTCGTTGTTTCCTTGCCCTGCCTCAATCTCAAAGCTACGCTCACCTGCCTCCCTGTGGACGGCCATCCCAACGGTTCACCTCTGTTCGTCCTCTCCCACCCTCCCACATCCCACCAGCCATCGCCCCCGCGCTGCTCTCCCACTGGCTCAGCCTCGGAGCCACGGTGGTGTGGCTCGGCGTGGACGGCCACCCCAAGGCAGTGATTGCCGCAGCTGACTCGCTTCGGGCCGAAGCTGCGGAGGCGGTTGGGCAGCTGGTGAGGGGACTGGGGCTGCACGTGGCCATGCTGACGGGCGACAATGCGGGTGCTGCCCGTGCAGTGCAGCTGCAGGTGCGAACGAGGGGGATGTTGGGTTTGAGGGGAGAACAGGGGGGAAAGAGGGAAGAGGGGAGGGGGGTGTTTGGTTTTAGCCTTTGGGCTTTAATGAGGAGAAATCGAGAGGCGGTTGGGGGGGTGTGGGGGAGGAGGAAGAGAGGGGAATGAAAAGGGGAGGAGGTGTATTGGGTATAGCTGGATTGGGGGTTGTACATGTAGCTGAAGATGTATTGTTGGGACGTGCTGACCGCAAGAGCTTACTCTTGCTGCTCTTCTTCCCTCCCCCCCTCCGTCTCTCCCTCTCATCCACTTCATCTCACCCTCTCTCCCTCCTTCCCTCTCTTCCTCTCCAAACCCCTCTTCCTCGCGCCTGCCCGCCCCACTGGTCAGCTGCACCCAGCAGTGGAGGTGCTGTGCGAGCTGCTACCGGAAGGCAAGGTGGCGGCCATAGCGGCACTCAAGGCGGCCCATGGCGTCACCTGCATGGTGGGAGACGGCATCAACGACGCACCCGCCCTCGCAGCCGATGATGTCAGCATCGCCATGGGCACCATTGCGTCTGCGTCAGCCATGGAGGCCGCTGACGTGGCCTTGATGTCAGACGACCTGCGCCAGCTGGCGCGGACGTTTTTGCTGGGCCGGGCAGTGCGGTGGATAGTGGTGGAGAACGTTGTGGCGTCGGTGGTGGTGAAGGGTGTGGTGCTGGGGCTGGCCGTGGCTGGCAGGGCGCACCTGTGGCTCGCTGTGCTGGCCGATGTGGGCACGAGCCTGGCGGTGGTGGGGAACTCTCTCAGGCTGCTGAGCAGGGTCGTCGCTAGGATTTGAGGGCACCTGATGCATCAGACGGGCCCTTCGGGCCCGTCTGATCCATCAGATTCTGTTTTTTACCTTGTCTGATGTTTCAGATTTTTCGAAATGCATGTCTGACCAATCGAATGGGCAATTGATTCGGACTTGACCAGTCACAGCAGAATCATCCCCTCACAGCAAATTCGGTCCGTCACAGCAGATTCGCCGTCACCCTGACACAGCAGATTCGCCCCGTCACAACAATTTCGCCCCTGACACAACAGATTCGCCCCCTGACACTTACAGATTCGCCCCCTGACACCTCCTGGCGCATCAGATTCGCCCATTCACAACTCTAATCCCATATTCACCCCTACATAATTGGATTCGGTATCAGATGAAACCAAAACAAGAACCTGGTTGATCAGATAAACTAAAAAACTACTCCTTATCAATCAGAAATTACAAAAACCAATTTCTGAAAAATCAGATGAACTCTAAAAACTCAATCTGAATATAAGACAAACAGACAAGAAATTTCTGCTAGCGATGACTCAGCAGTGCTGAGGAAAGCCACTGTGGATGGGTGCTGGTGGTGGGGGGGAGGATGGTGGTGACTATGGTGGTCACTGTTCAAGTCTATGCCCTATGTGTGCATGAAATTCGGTTACAAAATCGGTTGTAGCCTCTGAACTGGTGTAATATATTGACCTTTTCTTCCCGCTTTCCCCACTGAGATGTAAACTGCTGAAATGCACTTTAAACCTACCGTCAGCCCCCGGACATAACCGCCCATGGGATTATAAAAAAACACGTTATTTTAGGCAGGGTCTACAGCAGGCCCTCAGATTCACCTTTTCTGTGAAAAAAAAGGCTGACTGTCAGTGTTCCTAAAAAAAAAAGCCTGAGATTTCAGGGTTCCAAAAAAAAAAAGCCTGATTTCAAAAACTTTACATCTCTGGTTACAAGTGCAGTCCTAACGATATATGGCGGCTCGAGGAATCGAACTAGAACCTTCCTCTTCGGTAATGACTTCGGTAACGACTGGGACGGTTCATACTGTCGAAGCAAAATGTTTTTTTTATATATTTACGCTGATGATACGGAAATGTTGGAGTTCAGATAATCTTGGGTGTTTTACAGGAAGGATGCGGAATCTGCATTCAATGTACACGTTCGATAAAAGGCTGAAAAATCAGTCCCCTTCCATAAAAAAAGGCTGAAATTTCAGGGTTACAAAATTAAAAAGGCTGAAAGTTCAGGGTTGGTATACAAAAAAAGGCTGAAAATAAGTCAAATCAGGGTAAAAAGCCTGATATATGAGGGCCTGGTCTACAGCCTCCCCAGATGAACCATGCCAGCATCTGTCACACCCATGCATTTGATAAGCACCAGCGTTTTCAGAGAGGACAAGGCTGTCAAGTGCTGCAGGCCAGCATCGGTCACCTTGGCATTATTGAGATAGATGTACTTGAGACTGGTCAAGCTGCAGCAGTACCCGAAGAGTGGTCATCTTCAGGGTAGGGGAGAAGGTCTGGAAGAAGTTAACTCCCTCTCGCTGACTGAAGCCTCGTGCAACGTAACGCGCCTTGAAGACAGGCGGAGAACCCGGCGGCCCTTCACCCTGAAAATCCACATGCCACTGACGATGTTCGCCCCAGGTGGGGGAACCTCGTCGACCTAGGTGCCTGTGGACTTCCAGGAAGCCATCTCTGCGTCCATGACTGTCTGCCACAGAGAGGAGTAGGGACCCTCTATCGCCTCTGCCTAAGAGCGCGGGGTCGGGATGTCTGGTGCATCCGGGTCTCCCTCAGGTGCAAGCAGCATGGACACGAGATGAGGTAAAGCAGCGGCAAAACACTCAAACTCCTCCTGTCTGTCCTCAAGGACGTCCGTGCCAAGAGCACACTCACCCCCGACGGACGGAGGACAGACAGACGCAGACTCAGCAACAATACAAGCGGCGTAGTCTAGACGACAGGCGGCAGCAAAGTCAACAAGCTCAGCAACTAGGGCAGACGCAGCAGTGGACTCAAACGAAGGGTCAGTGACAACAGTAGCGAGAAGACGCGTGACATTAGGACTCGCAGCACGAGCAAGGTCTGACGGCGGGTCAGGGACGTCAGGAAGAGAGGACGCAGGAGGAGACGGCAGCGGGACACGCTGTGGAGCAGTGGAAGGACGAAGTGCCATCTGGTGCGTGCCTGGGACAGGAGGAGGACGCTGACGTGGAACACGACGACCAGTGCAAACAGCGCGAACAGGCGACGCAGGACGAGACTCATGCTCACGACGCTCCGTAAGACCTCTAGTCGGCCCAGAGTAAGGAGAGGGACCAGGCAGTGGAGAGGCTGGCTGTAACTGTGACTGTGACTAGTCAGGCGGTGGACACAGTAAGGGAGAAGTAGGACCAGTGGAAGGCGGGAGGCCAAGAACCTGCTGAAGGAGTGGAACGAAGTACGGTCGCTGCCGCGAAGCGCCTCCAGGGCCAGCAGATACAGCACCAGTACCCCCAGCTCCAGGGTCTCTAGCTCCAACTCCCGTAGTACCACCAGCTCCAGTACCTCCAGCAGCTCCAGCTCCAGCAGCACCTCCAGCAGCAACAGCTCCAGCGCCTCCAGCTCCAACTCCTGCAGCACCACCAGCTCCAGTAGCTCCAGGACCTCCAGTACGAGCACCTCCGGCAGCCCCAGCACCAGCAGGACCTCCAGCAGCTCCAGCTCCAGCAGCACCTCCAGCTCCAGCAGCTCCAGTACCTCCAGTACTAGCACCTCCGGGACCAGCGGCTCCAGCACCTCCAGCAGCAGCAGCACCACCACCAGCTCCAGCAGCTCCAGTACCACCAGTACGAGCACCTCCGGGACTAGCAGCTCCAGCACCCCGAGCAGCAGCAGCACCACCAGCTCCAGCAGCTCCAGCGTCACCAGCACGAGCACCCCCGGGGCCAGCAGTGCCAGCACCAGCAGCTCCAGGGCCTCCAGCTCCAGCAGCGCCACTCCGAAGGCTACAGCGCCGAGCGTGCCACTAGCGCAACTTCTGTGGTGAGAGAGGCTCCCGCCGGCTAGACCGCTGGGGCGAGGCACCAGTGGGACCTCCAGGACTAGTAACTCCAGCACCTCCAGTACCTCCAGTACCAGCAGTACCTCCAACACCTCCAGGACTAGCATCTCCAGGGCCTCTAGCTCCAGCAGCGCCACTCCGAAGGCTACATCGCCGAGCGTACCACTCGAGCAACTGCTGTGGTGAGAGAGGCTCCCGCCGGCTAGACCGCTGGGGCGAGGCACCAGTGGGACCTCCAGGACTAGTAACTCCAGCACCTCCAGTACCTCCAGTACCAGCAGTACCTTCAGCACCTCCAGGGCTAGCAGCTCCAGGGTCTCCAGCTCCAGCACCAGCAGTACCTCCAGCAGACTCAGCACCCCCAGTCTCAGCAACCGCAGGCACAGTACCCTCAGGCTCAGCACCCCCAGGCTCCGCACCCTCAGACTCAGCAACCCCAGGCTCTGCACGCTCAGGCTCAGCACCCCCCGGCTCCGCACGCTTAGGCTCAGCACCCCCAGACGCAGCACCCCTAGCAGCACCACCCCTAGAAGCACCAGAGTCAACAGCGACCTCGACAGGCTCGACAGGGTCTACCTAAGACACACCTGAGGGAGCAGGACCCTGAGGGGGGAGGGGGTCTACCGGAGGAGGAAGAGCGGCGGGGGGGGGGGGGGAGAGGGGCAGTGCGGTAGGGGAAGAGACGGTAAAAGGGAACCGTCTTGTCAAACGTGACGTCCTGAGAGGGCAGGACACGGCGCAAGGTGGGGTGGTAAAACTGCCAGCCAGGCGCGTCAAGGGGAAAGCCAAGGAAGACGCAGGGAATGGCGCGGGAGGAGAGCTTGTCCGCGGAAGTATCGCGGACAAAGGCACGAGAGCCCCAGACCCGGAACACCGACGCATCGCCGACCTTCCCCGTCCAACGCAGTGTAGGCGAGGTCTCCAGCAAGGAGACACGGGGCCAGAGGTTGAGCTGATGCGCAGCGTACCGGACCGCAAACGGCCACAGAAAATTGGGGGCAGCCGCATGGATCATGGAGGTACGAGCGACCTCCATGACTAAGCCAATGCGGCGCTCAGGAACCCCATTCTGCTGCGGAGAGGCCGGAAGCGTGAACGACTGGAGAATGCCCTCCCCACGACAAAAGTCCCGCAAGAAGTCGGAGGAAATCTCACCACCTCTGTCAGAGTGCAGACGCAGGACTGGAAGGTCCGTGTGGAACCGCTCGCGGAGCTGGAGACGGACAGCGCGGATCCAAGGGATCAAAACATCAGGGACCTCCCCCTTGCTGCGCAAGGGGAAGACGTGGTGTAACGCGAGTAGTCGTCAACAACCAGCAGAAAGTAGCGCTCGCGGCCCTGTCCACGGACGCGGGCTGGACCCCACACGTCCATGTGGAGAGTCTGCACGGGAACTTCGTCGGGGGAAACGAGGAGGAGTGAGGAGCGGCGCGCTGCAGCCCCTCGACACAGGGAAGGCAGGGAGGGGCAGGCGAGGGTGGGAGGGGAGGCAGAACCCTGGGAAGACCAGAGACAAGGACACGGTAGTGCATGCCACGGAGGCGTGGCACGGAGGGGTGACCAAGGCGGTGGTGCCAAAGGAGCGTCTGGTGCGACAGGGCGCGACACGAGCAGGGGGCCGCTAGCTGACCTGACGCAGACGCAGACGCAGCTACCTGAGGGGACACAGTGGTCAGTGTGTAAAGACTCGACCCAGGCCAACGGGTGAACGTGGCCAGGTGACGGCCAGTCCGGGAGCACGTAGAGATCGCCACACGCTGTCCTCCAGGGGTGAAGGTGTCAACCCATTCATCCTGAAGGACGGCGTTGCTCACCAAGTTTGTAGAGAACGAGGGGAGGTGAAGACCTGACAGTGAGCCAGACGGAACCGCCGGACACGGGAGAACAGTGGAGGAACGTGCAAGGACTGGGCCCCTAGAGGGGTCAGCCAGAGAGACAGCAACAGGTGCAGGGAGCGGTGTGACTGTGGTACTGTC